AAAACCTTCGTTATAGTATAAAGATTACGAGTCTACGTTTATGTTTAAACGCCTTCCGTGTGATAAGGTAGCTAACTCAGCCTACGAAAGGGAATTGTATGCCTTAGTACAAGCACTGGAAACGTGGAAACACTACTTGCTCGGAAGACATTTCACAGACTATTCGGACCACTCGACTTTGAAGCGGATCAAAACTCAACCACGACTTTTCGACAACTTGGTATGATGGTCTGCATTCATCCATACGTTCGACTTTGAACTGAAAACAATAAAAGGTAAGTCTAATGTTGTTGTTGATGCTTTGTCCAGACGCTTTGATTTCTTTGGTGCAATTGTTTCCTATCTTGACATTGGGTTAGAGTTGAAGGATTAGATCCGACAAGGGTATGTTAGGGATCCTATATGGAATTAATCCAAACTCTACAAAAAAATTCTGAACTCTTGGACTGACAACTTGCTCTTCTTTATGGATGAAATCGAAAACAGAATCTGCATTCCTCACAAAAAAGAAATTAAAAGTACGTTTATAGGGAAATGTCGTAACAGTGAAGGACATTTCGGGTTTAATAAGACATTTGCCAATGCCATAGAAAACTTTGAATGGAAAGGAATGAATAAAGGTGGGCTAACCTATGTGCAAACTTGTCTTGTTTGCCAAAGGAACAAGCCTTCTCATGAGAATCTGTTGGGACTTTTGCGACCACCACTACCTATTCCAAGCGAGCCAGATGAGTCTATCTCGATTGACTTTATGAGTTTCACCAAGAGTCTGAATGGGAACAATCAGGTAATGGTCATTGTTAGTCGATTCTTGAAGTATGTAATGTTTATTCCTTTACCAGCCGAAGCTAGAACGGAACTTGTCATCCAAAAATTCCAGATGCAATGGGTTTCGGAATATGGCTTTCTAAAAACCATCATCTCTGATCGGGGTGTACAGTTCACTGGCCAACAATGGCAAAAGTTGATGGAGGCCTATAGCACCCAATTGATCATGTCGTCAAGAAGACACCCTGAAACGAATGGGCAAACTTAACAGATGAATCGTTTGTGCCAACAACTTTTACATATGTATGTACGACCAGATCAAATTGATTGGGATGAGAACTTGCCATAAATTGCGAGTGCGCATAATAACAGTATTCACACGGTCACAGGCCGAATACCAAACACACTTCACAAAGGTTGGAAGTTACGGCGTCCCCCATTGATGCTTTGACCTAGGACCAAGTCCAACGGCTACCCCCAGAAGCACGAGAATTTGCAATTATGTACGAAGAAGAAGTATCGAAAGTGAAGGAAAATATTCAGAAATCCCAACTGCAAATGATTGAACAGGCCAACAAACACCGTCGGCCATCGCAGTTCCAAGAAGGAGACCTTGTCTGGGTGAAGTCTAAAGAATTTTCCTTAGAAGAGAATGCATCACAAAAATTGTTGCCTGTCTACTATGGACCCTGGGAAGGTCTCAAGGTGATCGGGGACACAAATGGACCTTCATACCGAATGGATGTACCCTCCCACCTCAAGACATATCCCGTCTTCCACACCTCCAAATTGCTGCCATATGTAGAAGACCACGATTTCCCTCACCGGCCATCCACGTTTCCTCCCTCCATGAACGAAGGATATGAAGTTGAAAGGATATTAGAACATGGATATTTTCCTACAGGTGGCAGAGGAAGGCCACAAAAGCAGTTCAAGGTAAAGTTCAAATCTAAACCTTTGTCTGAAACCAGATGGTTTAGTAAGAAAGAACTTCTACCTACTACTCCCAATATTGTTTGTGCATATCAGCGCGGACTGAAAGAGAACCAAACCTAAGGTAAGCTTCTACGATGGACTCGAAAATTGGGCCTGATGGAATGTAATAACCCGCTCAAAGTATGCTATTATCGTGGGCCAGAGGTCATCATTTCGGTCTAAGGGTCGAATCAGGGGCCAATTGCCACATCAGGCCACAGTGATGGCCTTATCAGAGGCCCTGTGCTGTATGCACCCAACCGAGGGCTGAAAACGGGGCTTCAGATGCCCTGCGCCCGACAATTGAATAAAGAAAGTCAACAGTCAATTGTAGCTCGGAAATTGAGGCTCACAAGTCAAAGGCTACATGGACCCAGTCCAGACCATCGATCAGACACACACATTTGGCTGTTTGCAGGTATCTGTGCAGAATCTGGTCCAAGTGGAAGTCTGCAACTGCATGAAATCGGCCATTCACTGCGGGTCAATATGAGCCCTCATATCCGAGAGACCAGAGGCTGGTCAATCTGCATCAACACTACATATTGACCCAGCCCCTGCTCATTGATATCCATTCTTTCATTTGCTGCTCGATGCTGGCACGACGCTGGCTCGACGCTGGCTTGACGCTGGTACTACACTGGTACTACGCTGGCATCGTGTGAGACAACGACGCAAGACTGCTGCATTGCATTGTTGGCGCCTCTCTGTTCTTGGCGCCAGCTGGAATCTTGATGGCTGATGTGGTGTTTGCCGCATTGTCTTGGACACAGATTGGGGTAACGACGAGGAGGGAGACCAGGGCTGTGAGATTGGTTGTGAGAGAGAGGGAAGCTTACCTGATTGTTGCTGTCGACATTGGGCGCTGCTGTGACGTCTTCATGAGATCTGTGCCTATGTGGCACTTCGCTGTCATCGGTTATTGTCAAGGCTCGTCCAAGGATGCTGTATGCTTACGTGGAAAGAGGGAAGGTGCCCGAAGCAGAGGGGGGTTAAGAGGGAGATCTATCTGAGATGACATTGACGGATACCTTCTCTTCCACCCTCTAAGTCTAACCTCCCCCCTATCCACTTCGTCCCCAGTTACGAGACATTGTACTTGGATCACATTCATGATTATTGGAGACATTGACTTGCGCTAAGACCGACCTGACGAGCTTTCCGATTGACTGGGTTCATTGCAAACCAACCCCCACAACGACAACAACCAACAACAACAACAACCAACAACAACCACAACGACCAACAACAACCACAACCACCACCAACATTGACAACAACCACCAACCACGACAAAAACCACCAACCACAACAATAAACACCAACAACGACAACAACCGTCAACAACCAGCACCACCACCACTATCACCACCACCAACTACAACCACCACCAACGATGACAACCACCACCACAACGACCACCACAACAACGACCCATGGGCTCTTCGAAAAAGGAAGCTTGTTTGAAGAAGGCCACCGAGGGGAGCAACTATATTTCACCATAAACTTGCACGCACTGATCAACCAAATGTCAACAAGAGAAGTGTTCACCCAGCCACCTCCATCCTCCTCCTCCTTCCTGCATTCTCTTGTTTCACATATGAGATGAGCATAGTAGCATGTACTGGAACATATGAGGAGGCTATATAATATTGCAATGGGCTGTCATGGTGTACCCCATAATAGGACTTCAAGTACTAACTGTACAGTACATCATGTACTGACTGTATCTAACCACATTCACGGCTCAGTACATCATGCACTTACTCCTGCCAAACACGGACTGAGACACGAAGATGATTTCTGAGTTTTGCTTATGGAATGAATGTCTTGCTGAGTTTCCCGCTTGTTGCTGAGTTCTCTAAGTCCGTGTGCGTGCATGCTTGCTGGTCTGCATGCCTGTCTGAGTGCTTGTCGGCTTGAGTGTGTGTGTGTGACCCGCAAGGGCACTCGTTTGTTCAGAGGGCCTGAAGGGCCGGTAATTACCTGTGACCGTGACATTGAGGGTTGCAGCGGGGAAAACACTCGAGTGCCGGGTAAAGAGGCCCGCGGCACTTCAAGCAGCGGAAAACACTCAAGTAGCAGCTACGGCGGTACCGCACCAGGTAGAGGTAGATGTGCCGGGTACTCAAGGCCGAGCAGAAGAAGACAAAAGTTGGCATTTTTAGAGGCCCGGTAGTTGTAGGCTAGGTCTAGGCGGGTAACAGTCCAACCAGTCTGAGTCTAGGGCCTGTACGGGCAATATCAGAGTCTGCAATGACGTTTCCCTCCGAAAGGAAGGAGGTACCGATTGCTTGGAGGCCGCGCGGCCTGGGAACTCACTCGCCAAGAGGCAAGTAGGCCGCTATATCTCCAGGAGGAGCAAAGTGCTTCTCCTCATTGTCGGTGTGCAAGTTTGGCGACACACTGGTTGGAGCGCTGGCTGGAGCAGCGCTAGCTTGGAGCAGGGCTGCTGGGGAAGAAGGACGGACAGGAAGTGGAAGAAGACAAGGACTAGGAAGGGGGAGCACCAGACGTACTTACCTGGCTATGGTGGTTGCCATCTTCATCACCTTGGTGGGCGCTGCACAGCAGGGTAGAGCTACACCAAGAAGCTTCGAGGCAGAGTCAGGCAAGGCGGCCTGAGCTACAGCGCCATAGATACTTGAATTGTCTTCTGCACATCAGGGCAAGACCCTAGCAGTCCACCATAGCCTAGGCTTTCGAGAAAAGGAAGGAGAAGGGTGCCAAGGCTATGGTGGACCTCATGTGATACCTGCAGTAGAAGTGGGATTCGAACATTGATTCTGGTTCAGCCATTCAACATTATTATTATTATTTCTTGATTGAATAAGAGGGGAGGAGGTAAGGAGGAGGAGAGTGATTGGGGAAGAAGAAGAGCATTATCATTGGTCTATGCTGGTGTACATCATCTTCTTCTTCTTCTTTCTTCTTTCTTTCTTCTTCTTCTTCTTCTTCTTCTTCTTCTTTCCCTCTCTCTCCTCTCAAGTTCATTCATTTCTTTTTGCATTTGGACGGCATTGTACTTTCTGATGAATGTGTACTTCGAAATTCGCCAGGATCATAACAATATAGCTGCATTCACGGCTGGTCATGGGACACTGGTAACATATGAGTTGTACTTACTACAATGCAGTGACCTATGGTCAGTCAACTAGGAGTGCACTACTGCATTGATCAGCTCCAGTTTTTGTTTTTGTTTTTTTGTCACAGAACATGCTGCTTCCCCCCCCCCCCCCCYTCTTTTGGCATCGTACCTTGTCGTTGAAGCAAATGAGTGCGTGACAACCGTGTCAACCAGCAGCATGGCAAACTTGGTCGCATATTCCACGGACGAAAAAGAGCAAGCATAGAAAATCAGGAACTACAGGACAGAACAACAACAACAAACCCAATACATCAAAGATGAAAGACGTTCTGGCAACCTCAGCACCAAAGGACTTGATAGCCATGGGATAGATATCAATGATCGAAACAGGCTGTAGCAAGGATTCCATCCATGATAGGGAAAGCAGCAGCAGCAACAACAACGACAATGTCGACAACGATGGAACTCTTTTCACAAGTATGAATTATCTTTTTTCTTTTTTCCCCTTGCACAGGGGCCAAAACCCCGCTTCCAAGATCAGGGTGAATACTGCAAAACAGAGAAGAGAAGACGTGGGCGTCCAAGCAGAGCTTAGCATGGTCACATGCAAAGGTGGAATTAGCATTGTCGGAGATCATGAAAGTCAACGACACCAAAAAGGTAAAATGATACTAAATCTTTATTTGCGTGTACTGAAGAGTGAACAGTTGAATGCTACTAAGTAAAGTTGAAAAATTAATTTCACTACCAGTAGGTTATTCCACATCCCATTCCTACTTCAAGATTTCAAAATACTGCATGTCGTTGTCACCTTCTATTCCAATCCTCTCCTATGAAACACCTGCGGACGCGTCCGCGGGGCCGAGCTCGGAGGGCGGACGTATTCACGGCCGCCTCCGCGGCCTACCGGGTCCGCGCCGCGGACCCGATTTTACCAGATTTTTCCTGAATTAAATAATAGCCCAAAAAAAAAAAARAAAAAAAAAATCCCTACAACCCCTTTTTTTTTTTTTTGGAATCCGACTTTGTTTAGGATTTTTAAAAAATCAAAAACTAAATTCGGTTTAAAGAAATTTTTTAGGAAAAATATAAAGAAAAGCTGGAATTTTTTTTGGTCATTTTTTATCATCAGATATATGGTCCCTGAGTTCACCTGTATTTTGTAGAAATGAATTTCTATTTTTTGCAGGGGTATGAGGTGTTTTAGAAAAATAAAGATGCAAAATTTAAAAATAAATAAACAAAAAACTTGAAAAAAAAAAGGTTTGATTGATTGATATTGATTGATTGATTGATTGATTGATTGATTGTGAGTGAGTGTGTGTGTGTGTGTGTTTGTGTGTGTGTGTGTGTGTGTGT